CCCCCCCGGGAAAAGGGCCCCCCCCCCGGGGGGGTTGAAATTTTAAAAAGGGGGATGCTGGGGGGGGGCCCCTTTTTTTTTTTTTTTTTTTTTTTTTTAAACCCAGAAGTGTTTGGTATGAAATGACCTGAGCGGTTCTGACCTGTGGACGCGGGTCAGACCAGTTCTGTGTGGAGTCATTAGTGAGCTGCTTCCAAAACACAAATTAAAGGTTCAGGTATTCATTTTAGCCCCACTCATTACAAAGCTTTGTTTCTGAAAGAAAGCAGGATAAATGGACTACCTTGAGAAAAATCCAAACATGACCTTTTTTTCCCCCTGCAGTTGTGAATGATAAAATCTCCACCATGGATGTGTCAGAAAGCAGCGGTACGTATAGCGCTCCTTCCAGGCTGGCTTCTGTGTCCTCCATGTTGTTGTTGTATTCCTCATTGTTGTGACATGAGCCGACTCACACTGAAAGAACAGCAGCAATGCGGCCTACAGCAGCACACAGAACTGCATTCACTATAAACATGTTCCTGGTGGTCCACATCCAGCCCACAAGCCGTCTGTTTCTGGACCCCTGACCGACTACCTGCTCTCTGCAGTTTGTGGTCAGTCCAGATCCTGATCCAGAAAACATGATGGATATGGATCCATTCTGGATTTTCCAGGTCTAAAGAACAACCATTCTAACGTTGGTTTAGCTTGAATGCGCTAAAGACGTGTCAACGATCTGTTAATAGGCTGTTACTATTGGCAGACAGCTGAACGCATCGGCCAAAACGGCTTTTAGAAAACAAAGAAGTTGGCGTTCTGCTGAGTTTGGGTAAACATGAGATGCTGCAAGTTCACCAGTAAAATAAGGTGGACAATGAAAATCGATGTTCTGATGATGTTAAACTTCCGCGGTCTTAGTGCCACCTACAAAAGGAGCGCAGCAGATGACACAGGGGGTAAGGGAGAGTGTTCTGTCAGACTGTTGATTTAGACCTGATTTATTTATTCTCTGTCTGACCAGCACAAGACCAATGTGTCTAATAAGAGGTAGTAATATGTAAAATTGACTTTTTTCAGTTTTACATCATGTTAACTTATTCACTCATCAAAAACATAACTGCAGTCTTGCCTTGATTCTTTCATGCATGTTTGAGGAATGCTTTAATCTCTGTGGTATTTTGAAGAGACCTTTCCTCAACATCAAAAACTCAAAGGAGCTTTGGACAAGAAGCCTTTCATTTTAAAATTCCTGACTTCTGTGAATCACCTTAGAATTGAACTACCACCTCTTTTTTGGCCTTTTGTATTCCTTAAACTAAATGTTATTTTTTTGCACAAGTTTCATGTTTTAGTAAGTAAATTTATAAGATTTTATTTCCTTATGTTTATTGCTTTGCATGAAAAGAAATGTCATTCATATCACCAGTTCTACAAATGAACTGAGAAGAAAAGGCAAAATGTTGATTATTTAAAAACAACCTAGTGTTTGAAAAGAATAAGTAAAAACACCACCATGCACACAGAGGGTAGTCTGCTTTGGATCGCTGTACAACTGAAAACAGAGTCTTGCAGTAGATTAACATCAGCTTGTGTGTGTTGTGTGTCTTGCTCCGTCACATCCAGTGGGAGTGTTTCATTATCACCTTAAACACACGTGGCCAGATTTCAACTGGAAATAACAGTAAATGATAAACAGCTGAGTATCCTGGTCAGCCTTCTATGTCATAGTTGAACTTTAATCATGCAAAATATGACTGCAAGTCATATTTTGAATTTGCATCAAGCACAGCAATGAAAAGATCCACAGCTTTTCAGCCATGGACCCTCTAATCTCCACGGCAACCTTTCAGCTGTGCAAATTGGGTGGACCTAACACCGCCTTCAAGACGCAGCTCCTCCTCTGAGCTGTAGTTTCCAACCTCACAGACCAGCCCTCCTCTGCAAGTCCTAGACTCAGCTCCTTCAGACTAGCCAGCAGCAATTAGCAAACACCTGTTGGAGTATCTGCTGAGTTCATTATGAGCTACTTCTCAGTGAAATGCTGGTAAAATCGTTGTTAAAGGGTTAAGAGGAGCCATGTTGTGATGAATTCCTGAAGATGGAGTTTCGGAAAGAGCAGGAGTTTTAAAAAAGACAGAGGCCCAATTTCAAGACATTAAATTCCATAGTCAGAATTTTTAAGTCATATTTGACATATACAGCATTTTTATAAAAACTGAAGGTAACATACTTACTTAATTGTGCTATAAAATGGCACAGTGTGGCTGGAAAATACATGATACTGCCCATTTAAAGATATGCTGTTCTGCAGTACTGGTATGTAAATTCCAGGGTTTCCCACAGTGTATTATAAGCCTGGCTGCCCGCCATGCTTTACTAGCCCCGCCGCCAGGCTAAGCGTTAATTGTTTACGTTTCTAGGAAAATTAAAAGAAAACAAAACAAAAATCTTTTTTTTTTTGTTTGTTTGTTTATTTGTTTGTTTTTTAAAGCCGGGCTGCAAGCGTCTCTTTTGCTCTTAGCATTTCACTAGCAAAGCAGATTTATTCCTAAAGGATAGGTTTATAGTTTATGCATTTAAACCCGACAGCATGGACCAATCACAGCTGGCGCCTCTGCGCTTTGTCTCGCGTGCTCCCACTGCTTTACCTCAGCGGGATCGCGTGCGACTCCTTTCACTCAAACTGGGCTCAGGCTGACCTGTATGGATATTTACATCAACCTACTGTAAGGAATTATGATCCTTTGGAGAACTCTAGGTAAGAGTTTAAAACTTGCAACGTTAGCTCTGGTTGCGCAGCTCAATGTGAACCGCAGGAATAAGTTGTAGCGAATTCAGAGGCGCCTTGTGGAGCGGTGAGAATGATTTATCTTTGTGAACGAACAATTATATGCGGTGTTTACATCTCAACACGCTGTCCAGCGTGTGGCTCTGTGTCTGTCTTCCCTGTAAAGTTTATGTCTGTGGTCCCGGTTGGTCAGAGCGTTTGTGGATAACGAGCAGCGCTAACCTGATCGTGCAGGTTCAGCTCGTGAGGAGCTTTAACGCTCTCCTTGGAGTCACGCTTAACGCTGATTTTACATTATTTTATTATTATTTTTAGTATTATTTTTCCAGTTACATGATTCATCAAACCATATCAAATGCGTTGTCTACTTAGAGTTAATGCACTCGTGACCGTCAGACACGGTCGAGTCCCATAAACTCAACCAACCAGAATAGTTTCTGTGATGATTAAAAACTCAACAGACACGAAATGGAAGAGCTACTAAAGCCACATTAGCAGCATTGAATTAAATCTCCTGTTTGTTGCGCGTCTCTGCGTAGTGCAGCAGATTACCTCATCATGCAGGGCCGGTCCAAGGCTGCATGAGGCCTTGAGCAGAATTTGACATAGGGGCCCCTTTTGTTGCTAAAAATATCAGCACCTCTAACAGCTTCTGTGTTAGATTTAGTGAAATATGGGAGAAGGGAGTAGTTTAATTGGTCAGCCTAAAAAGCAATAAGTTATCATCGCAGTTTACTAAATTGGATTTGTAAATTCAAAGATTAAACTCACAGCATCAGATTGTTGCTATGGTAACAAAACAATCTAACTATGAATATTGTTCTTTGAAGTTTTACAAAGTAAACTTGCCAGCTCCTTAAAATCTTGTATTTAAATATTAAACAATTTAAAATCATTTAATTTATGTATGCCTAAACAATTGAATAAAATTTAACAGCATTGACCATCTCAATAAACAAGTGTTACATTTATGTATCTGTGGTCTGTTTTAAAATATTAGCATTTAAGGGGCCCCTGAAGCCCTGGGGGCCTGATGGAGCCGCTGACTTAATTTGGATTAAACAGAAGTGCAAATTTGTTGTTTTTAGACTAGTTGTGGGTTTAAATAGCATTTCACTCGAGATCTTTTCCCATAACCTATAATTAAACAGTAATACTTTTACATTTCCTGTCAACTTAACATCTTTTAATACAAAAACACGGTTGACCACCGGTGGGCCGCCTCGACGCCCTGACCACTGGGCTTAGCAAATTTTCTGGGGGAAACCCTGAATTCTGTCATAACCTTTGTTAGGATAGAAAAACCTAGAAATGTCAACGTTGCATCTCTTGAAGCAGAGCCATTCTATTCTGGGTTTGTTAGATTTCAGTTAAATGTGTTACTATGAACTTTCAAATATTATTACATATATTGGCTAAAATTTGTTCGTAGTTTCTCATTCAGTCAACTTCATCTGTTATTTATACTCATTCAGCGATGTGTCTCAGAGGTGTCTGTGTTTACGTGAGTCACTGAACATCGTGTTTGAAGAAATCTGTGCCACAGTCTGACCTAGTTGTTTTTATTCCAGATCAGGTTCATGCCGGTTCAGCTGCTGGCTCCCGAAAGTTGAAATTTAGTCACAATTAGCAATTATTTGGTAGTTGACCTTTTGAGTCTGACTCGGTGGTGATCTGTGCTTGTAAAGTGCCTGTGGAGAACGGTGATGCGGAGATGACGTCGGAGGAACCATGGGATCAAAAAGACGACGAAGCCACCGAGGAGGAGCCGGGAGGTGGGGACCGGGGGCCGGAGGAGTCGGCCTCGCCGGAGGACCCTGCTCCAGAGATGATGGAGGAGGAGGAGGAGGTGTTAGTGCCAAAGGTTCCAGCCGTACAGCCAGACGCCCCCAAAAAGGAACACATCAATGTGGTGTTCATCGGACACGTAGGTCAGTACTGAGACCCACTGGTTCTATTTTATTTGTGGAGGACATTGTTTAAGAAATATAGACCTTACAGTTAATATGGAAAGTATTCACACTGCTTCACTTCTTTTTCATGTTATGTTCCAGTGTTATTCCAAATTGTAACTAATCTCTTTCCCCACAATTCTTTCACACAAATACCCATGATAATGTGGACTTTTATTCAAGAGTCTAAAGTTTAATTCTGTTTCCAGATGCTGGAAAATCCACCATTGGAGGACAAATCATGTAAGTAGTGTTCTGTATTGCAGTTGAAGTGTTGTAGGAGGATTAGCTGTAACCTCCCCGTCTCTCTGCAGGTATCTAACAGGCATGGTGGACAAGAGGACCTTAGAGAAGTACGAGAGGGAAGCCAAGGAGAAGAACAGAGAAACCTGGTGAGTGGGCCGCTTTAGCTGCTCTGTCATGACAAACTAGCTCTGTTTCCATTCTTTGTCCGTACTCTTTGCCAACCTTTTGTAATTGTAGTGTTTCCATTAAATGAGAAATTAAATGGAAATCACATTTGAATAAGATTCTTCTTGTGATAATTAAAACTTATTTCAGCAATGAATGTAAACAAACGAGATATATTCATTATGCAGCCATGGTATGAGCACTCATCATCTATCAGCCAATCAGAGTGGCATCGCCTACTTTGGAGCAGTTACGTTTACAGCGTTCTGGGGAAATAGTCAGTGATTTTACATTAGTTATGGATTCAGCACTTGGAATGATATAACTTTTTATGAACTGTGTTGCTGTGGGAGCTCTGGTGGAGCCAGCCGAACATTGTCTGAAAAATACAAAAACAACCAATCATCCTCCTACCACTTCCTGTTGTCTTTTTTGTCATTTTCTCCAGTAGTCACATCTGGTTGTTGATTACATGACTGATGATGCAAAAAGGGTTGAGTTGCAGTTTTGTGAAATACATCTATTTTGCTGCATCTGGAAAAACCGACCTCATCCTGGCTCCAAAACTTTTTATGGAAAAATGATTTTTTTTTTTCTAAACTGGTGTGTTTCCATTAAGAATGTTTATTTTCGCAAATTCAGTTTGCTCAATTTTATGGTTAATGGAAATGAGTTATTCGTGTTTGATCCGCTGCTTGGTGTGTTTTTATGAAGGCAGATGTAGGTCATAGATGTTGTAAAGAGCAGTCTTTTGACGGTCTGTGCTCTCTGTCTTCAGGTATCTGTCCTGGGCTTTGGACACCAATCAAGAGGAGCGGGACAAGGGGAAGACTGTGGAGGTGGGCCGAGCGTACTTTGAGACGGACAAAAAGCACTTTACTATCCTAGACGCTCCAGGCCACAAAAGCTTTGTGCCGAACATGATTGGAGGCGCGTCCCAGGCTGACCTGGCTGTTCTGGTGAGTAACTCACAACTGACCCACTGTTGGGCTCCACCACACACAGACACGCTAAGCACTGAATAACCTCCAAACTCAACTGCTAGTTTATGTTGAATACAAATGGGAGAGCTCCCCTGAATAGAGTTCCCCTGTGTAGCTGACACCGCTAACTGGTCCCACAGGTGATCTCTGCCAGGAAAGGTGAGTTTGAGACGGGTTTCGAGAAGGGCGGACAGACCCGGGAGCACGCCATGCTGGCTAAGACGGCCGGTGTCAAACACCTGATAGTCCTGGTCAACAAGATGGATGACCCTACAGTCAACTGGAGTCTGGAGAGGTGGGTACAGGAAAAACAGGGGAGGGTTCACTGTAAACCTGCTGCAATTAATTAATTACTCGCATGATTAATTAAAATGCGTTCAGTGATTTCCCTTCTGATATTTTTTGAAGAGCAATTTTGTTTAGATTTGCTAATTCACTTTATTTATATTTTCAGTTGTGTGGTGGTTTTTTTTTTTATTTTGATTTATTGTTTTTGGTTGTTTTTATTTTGAGCAATTCCAGTTGCAATGTGGAGTTTTTTGTGCAAAATTAGTGCCTATTAGTCTTTCAAAGGGTGATTTTCTATTATTATACTACTAGTTGAAAATGGTCTCAAAAGGACAATATTATAATCTATTGTAATAATTTCCAGCAGAAATTATTGTGACAGGCCTAGGTCAGTGTTGATAATGGAGATGGTTAATGATTCATGCTCTGCTGTTTCACTGTTCTAATTATAGTCCTCTGTGATTACTCTGAATGTTTGTTTGAATTCTAAATTTGTCCAGGTCTCACAGTACTCGGCCAAATAAAACAGATCAGATGACAGTTATCAGTTCTGCTGCCATGTTACCAGCTGCTAGCACACTGTGGTGGCCTCAGGTCTGTCTGCAGGGAGTCTCCATCTTTCTCTGGGTACTCTGTCTTACTCCTGAGTTCCAAAACAAGCTTGTACATGAGTCATCCTAAAGTTGCCCAGAGGGGTGTGTGTGTTTTCACATGGTACTTTGTCCTGTTTTTTGTTGTTGTCCTGCAATGACCTGATGACGTGTCCAGGGTGAACCCCATTTCTCACCCAGCAATATGCGGAAGATGGGCTCCAATCCCCCCACAGCTCTGCAAGGATAAGTGGGTGTAGGGATGCTCATGTGGGAATTTAATGGCATTGTTACCCCAGCAACCTGCTATTGAAGAAACATAATTGCATTTTACTCTTTGATTCCAAGTTGTTGGAGCGTTTCAGCCATTTGGATTCAAATCAGAAACCAAATTAAACCCCAGCGTCCTTCATCCAGATGACCTGAGACAGACAGAGTCCAGACTGGTGAACAATGTTAGCTTGAAGACCCCAGCCCCATCTGCAGTCCTTTAAATGAACAAGGTGTTGACTGTAGAGGCAGATGGAGACGTGTTGACTTGTCAATCCTGGGTTAACTGGGGGAAGATGCTGCAGCAGCTGATGTTTACATGGCTGAGCCTGAGATGATGGCGTCATCTGTTATTTCCACCTTGTGAATAAAATCTGGCTCTCTCCACTTGGCTCCTTCGAACTAGCAAACAGCAAATATCAAACAGTGGGTAGAACTACACACCTGCTAAGCTCATTATAAAAGCTACTTTTCAATCCAACACTCCAAGGAACGGCTGGCTGTAAATGGCATAATAGACGAGCATTGTTGTGATGACTTCCTGAAGGTGGGGTGTTGGAAAGAGCAGGAGCTTCTTAAAGAGACGGAGTCCAATTTCAAGATGTCAGTTCATGAATTAAAATGTCTTAAGTTATGTTTGATACATACATTATTTTTATAACTGAAGCTATCATAGTTGCTTAATAGTGCCATTTTATAGCACAGTGTGACTGGAAAATACATAATACTGCCTCTTTAAGCTACTCATTCTTGTCTAAAGTTATTGAAATTGTAGATGTTTTCTTTAATTTCTGTATATGTACATTGATGTTGGGACTAAAGAATGGAAGGCAGCACATTTCTAACCTTCTCTGACTGAGATGGATACTTTTCCTCTTCACCCTCTCATTTCCAACACCAAGCATTTATTCAGGTGAACCTATGTGCTGCTTTGTTTCCTGGGCTGCTAGGTATGAAGAGTGCAAAGAGAAATTAGTGCCATTCTTGAAGAAAGTGGGCTTCAACCCGAAGAAAGACATCCACTTCATGCCATGTTCTGGGCTGACCGGAGCCAACCTGAAGGAGGCGACTGACATGTGCCCCTGGTATACGTAAGTCTGTTAGCTTCCTCACAGTCAGGACAACCCAAGATCATCGCCTCATCCTTCTCTAACTGCTTTTATTTGAATTTCCAGAGGTTTGCCCTTCATCCCACACTTGGACAGTTTGCCAAATTTCAACAGATCTAGTGATGGACCAGTCAGATTGCCCATTGTAGACAAATACAAGGTGAGAACATCTGTTTGTTTTTTTTAATGCATGTTGTATAAAAATTGCTTCCTGAAACATGGAACAGATTTTGTTGTCCTGGATTGAAAATGTGTTGCTCTCTCACCAGGACATGGGAACCGTGGTTCTGGGAAAGCTGGAGTCTGGCTCCATCAGTAAAGCACAACAACTAGTCATGATGCCCAACAGGGTAAGACATCCAATCAGATACAGGCCTGCCCTGAATCAGGGTTACCCGGGCAACCAGCGACCCACTGGGTCTTTGTTTTAAAACATGTTTTGTTGTCAGGAAATGTAAAATATTACTGGATGTTACAGGAAGACATTGACAATACTTAAACATACAACTCTAGTGTTAAAAACAACAAATAAGAAAATACAATTAAAATGATTATTAATTTTTTTGTCATCTGTTAAATCCCAAAGAAGTAATCAGCCACTGCCCATACTACCTTGGGCCAGTCACTGCACTGCGCATCTCTACTGTATGCCATGGACAAACAGGGAGATTTAATTTATGAGGCACTAGTAGAGGCCAAGAATTATAGATGTATGAAAAACAATTTAAAATGGAAAAAATAAAATGCCACGCTTAACCTGATGAGGAGGCAAGTAAAACCTGGTAGGGTGCTACTAATAATACACTGGGGGAAAGCCTTCTGCAGAGTTTAAACTGTTTCATTTAAGGTTTTTGTGGCTCTCTGGACAGAGAGGAAGACGTGTTCAGAAATCAGTCTGGGATCCTCTGTAGCCTCTGTGGTGCGCCTGATTCAACACTAGGCCCCAATATGGGATTATTTTATATTTCTCAGCAGACTTGACTAATGCCGATTCCATTTTTTGATCAGAGTTTCCCACGAGCAATACTGGTTCAGATTGGGAGAGGTGATGTCACACTGTGTGCAGGAGCAGCTGCTGTCAATCAGAGTCAAAATGTTTAACTATAAACATCAGTCTCTGTGTTCCCTGAACAACATGGACCCTTAAGGCCTCCTACATATTTCAGCAGAAGTTCTGAAATCAGTTCTCAATGTTGATGCTTGACAAAAAAATTGCGTCATTTTGTTCGTGGAGACATCTGCCTGCCGAACTCTACAGGCCAGGGTCAAACTGTTTCAACAGAACTGTGTGTGAAGTGCTGTCTGACTGGTTAAAGGTTTGTTTATGCTAATGCAGAAAGACACTCTGACAGCAGTGTTAACATTTCTCTTCAGCTAGTCCTCTTTCACTATGTGGTTTTTGTATGTAGGAAAGCTGATGCAATGTGGAGCTATGTATTTGCACGGTTCTTCACTCTATACTATANCGCCTCAGCACCCCGACCACCGGGCTTAGCAAGTTTTCTGGGGGAAACCCTGGTCTCTGTTCATGAGTGTGCTGTGGCAGCACAGAGGTTCAGCACAACCCACGTATGGAGGCCTTAGTCCTCGATGCAGCTGTCGCAGGTTCAATTCCCGGCCTGGCGACCTTTACTGCATGTCTTCCCCTTCTATCATTACCCTGTTTCCTATCAATTAACTATCAAATAAAGGTCACTAGAGCCAATTAAACCTTTTAAAAAAATTTCTCTGTTCAGACTCACCCAGCAGAACCGAGGTGATGTTGACGTCCAGCCTCTGCTTTGCTCGAACGCCGATCTTCAGGCGTGGAGGGTGGAGTCGGCCCGCAGCCTGATGCTGCCAGGACAGGACGCAGGGCCAGGGCTCGATGAACGGCTCCCAGCCTGGAACACAAGCAGAAATGCTGAACCTCCATCTGGACCCCAGTTCTGGTCCAAACACCGGGAGAAAGGTCGGTGCTGTCTGGACTCGTTCTGGACGGTTCCAGCCCGTCGGGTCACACAGCGTTCAGGAAGTTCCTCCGTTGCTTTTCACGGTTGGACCACAGCTGTGGCAACAATCCTGCTTCTGCTTGAGGAGGCCATCTAAGCTGTGGCCTCGTTGGAAATTAAACACATCGGCTTAGAGATGAATCAATGCAAAGTGTTGAATTCTCAATTCCACACGGCAAATTTGGAGCTGACATTTTTTTCCGAACCTAGTAAAGCACCCGAAATAAAAAAGAAAAACATGAACTGATCGCATAATTAGCCATGTTTCCATCCAACTTTTTAGTGAGCTTTCAAAGCGTTGCAAAAGAAAAAGAAACTGGTTTGAAGTTTCTTCATCTCTACTGGAAACTACTTCCACTGGAAGTAGTTTCCAGTGGAGGTGAATCAATGCAAACCAGCAGTTTCCATCTACTGGTTTGAAGCGAATCAACCAGGTAACAGTGTGATTTTGTCAGATGTTGACGCTCCTTATGGCTGTGATAAACAGGAAGTAGAGATTTCAAACTAACATGGAGAAAAGATGGAGAGCGTTCTCTCCTCTGGAGGTTTTGTCCAAGACAGGAATGTTTGCTACGTCAGAACTTATTCGGCTAAAGTGTTTCCATCTCCTTCTTTAGCGTATTAACTCTTTCAGAAAAGATAAAAACCGCCTCAAGAGAGCGTAGAAATATTTGTGCCAAATTGAGGCAGTTATTTTGAATTTAGCTGTTTTCTTTACCTTTTCTAATGCAATACTTCAAAATGTGCATTAAAAAACGCCAGGTGAAAACACAGCTGTTGGCACGGAGATGAACAGTGTGTAACCTCGTTTCCATCAACATTTGTCTCGGTGCTTTTTGGAGTTTTGTATTACAAAATGTTGATGGAAACGGCAAAATTCATATAAATGTGTTCCATTTTCCTGAGGTAGTTTTTGGCTTTTCCAAAAAAGAACCAAAGCAGTGATCGGGAAACAGAAACATGTCCGCTGAATAAGTTCTGACGAAGCAAAACGTCCCCATCCTGCTGGGTCTGCACCTTACCAGAGGCACCAAAACCTCCAAGGGAGGACTGTCCATTTTTCTGAGATGTGTGCTCCATGTCTGTGTCTGACCTCTACTTCCTGTTTATTACAGCCATGCGTAGCATCATCATCTGATGACATCACGCTTTGCGTCACTGCAAACCAGTAGGTGGAAAACGGCCTCATTAGCAATTTTTCTTATGCAACATTTTAAACATTTGTTCAAAATCTGAATGACAATTTAATGGATAGAAAGCTTGTCGCTGTATAACACGGCTGACATAAAGAATACCACGATGTATAGTTACAGAACATTTTTTAAAGTAAAAAAAATGTAAATAAATAAAAAATCTCAACTTGAGGATCCAGAAAATCATCAATCCTTGTAACGTGTTTAAAAAGTTTTTAATAATATTTTTCAATGTAAAAACACTAGCTTCTAAAACTTTAGGAAACGTATTTATTTTCATTTTCACTTGAATACTTGACCTGGGCAGTGCTGGAGCCTGGTGCATCTTTCCATGCGTTTTATGCAGCTGATTTACCTGACAGCTCTCGGTTGTAGTAGTCTCCAGACAGCGTGAAGCTGGCGTTTCCTTCCTGGGTGGAGCCAATGCGCTGCAGCACATTTAGTCCTGCAATAAAAGCACAGCAGGCGGCATTTTCACCGTCATTGTTTCCACATCAAACCGTCAAGCTTAACATGTATTAACAAAACTAAAGCATGAGTTTGATGCTTTAAGTCCCACTGACTTAAAGCATCATGTTCTCACTGCATGAACAACTTCTAGTTTAGTTGTAGGTTACAGATTTCAAATTATGTATCGTTTTATCCTTCGGGCTAATTGAACATTCATCAAAAACTAATCTGCCGTTATATTTAACCCATTAAAAGAAGGTTAATGTTGTGTTTCTGAAATCTTAACGGCCGTTTCTACAGTAAACAACTGTGTGTTTGTTTTAATGTAGTCAACACAAAAATCTCTGGTTTTACAGTCAAATTTCACTGTGGGAACCATTTCACACTTACAGATTTATTCTGTTTCTCACACTAAAATGTCTCTGATCAAACTATTTACTGAAGATAACTTCAGTAAATATTACAATTTTCAAATGATGATTTATAATCAGAAACTATCCAAACCAACTTGTTGCTACATGAAAAAGTGATTTTCTCCTTTGTAAATCATGAATCTGGGTCACAGAAGAACATGTGAAGCTCTGCAGGCCTCATTCGGCTCAGCTGAGGTCAGAGGTCATGATTAAACGATGAGAGAGAGAGAGGGTGAGTGAGGCTCACTGGAGAAGGTAAGCTCAGCCAGCGGGATGTCACAGTCCAGGCAGTCGTCGATGAAGCAGATGCAGACGCTCTCGGCCTTCACCTCCACGCCGGACAGAGGCCAGGCGTGGCTGCCGGAGTCGGCCCGGCCTCGGGGAAGCCCCGCCACGTTCTCCGAGTTCTCCCACAGCCAGGTGGCCGCCTGGTTCAGCTGGCCTGAGAGGGACAAAAACAAATGAATTTGAAGTATTAAAGACAGATTTCTGAGAAAAAAGTCAGAATTCTTGATTAATATCAGAATTTTGATCGCCAGTCTGTCGCTGCAGAGCATCTCTTCTCTAACTAAACATGAAAAAGCTCAAACTCACCTTTGCAGCTGCTCAGGGCTTTTTTGCAGTCCTCTCTTCTGAAGCCAAGGTTTTGTAAGTGGCTCAGCTTGGTTTCTACAAACAGAAAAATGCATTAAATACACAAACCAAAACATTTATTTTAGCCATTTTGGATTTCTGAAACTTTTGAACAAGAATAACAGTTTCTCAGCTCATCGCTGTCTACGGGGTTTTCTGTGCCTGAGTGAACTCTGCTGAAAGCTGCTGGTTCTGTCACTAATAGCCATCTTTTAAAGCTTTCAAAGAGTGAGGGTAAAATATATGGTGGACAGATGCTGCCATGAATAAGAAAAAATAGACACATAAAGAAAAGTTTAAAAATGCTTAAATCCGCAAAAATACAGGAAACACAAAATATTTACTGCATTTTTGTGCATTTAATCATATTTAGTCAAAAAATTTAGAGGCCTGATAATTTTTTTCTTTTCAAAGACAGCAATGGAAAACTATGGAAGACCAATTATACATATGATTAAATTCACAAAGAATCTTTATAGTCAAAGAACTGCTAAGGGAACTGTGTTGAACGCAAGAGAGATGAGTAATTTTGCAAAACTATCTAAAACAGTATTTTTCAGAAGAGAAAGGTAGAATTCTTTTTAAATTTAATTTAGAACAAAAAATTGGATATTTTATTTTTATTGCCCAGCTCTACCGGCAAATGACATAAAAACAATAATATATAATTAATTATAAAGTGGAAATAAGCTCTGAAACATTTAGGTTTGGGTTCAGAGGAAACCGGTCTCTCATACCGATGAGGCTTTGCGTCTTCTCCTGGGCGCCATCTTTGCGTGGCGGCGCTCCATTGGATGGATCAGCCTGAGAAGGCGGAGCCTGGGCGGCAGAGATGGACTTGGCGATGGACAGGAAGAGCTGGATGTCGTTGTACGAGAGACGGATGTCTAGAGCAGGAAACTGGATCTGCAGGTTAATCAGGTCAAAGGTCAGCCGAACATCTTAGAATCTGCCTTCAGCGTTAAAACGAAGTCCGACCAAACAGGAAGCAGCGGCGGCCCGACCTCCAGCAGCGGCGGGATGTCCTCCACGTTGAAAGCGTCCAGGAGCCCCGAGCTGCTGGGGTAGGTGGGGCTGCCGCACAGCTCCAGCTGCACGGTGACCGGGTCGATGATGGACAGCGCCGTTTCCTGCTCGCTGCCCAGCCGGCACGAGAACACCTGCAGGGGAAACGCCGCAGCTGAGACATCATTCTGCAGCAGCCCGGAGTAACACAACAACAGTAGCAACCTGTAGTAACATGCAGCAGCCCGGAGTAACCCATAGCAACCGGTATCAACACATAGCAACCGGTATCAACCCATAGCAACCGGTATCAACCCATAGCAACCAGTATCAACACATAGCAACCTGTAGTAACCCATAGCAACCGGTATCAACCCATAGCAACCGGTAGTAACCCATAGCAACCCGGAGTAACCCATAGCAACCAGTATCAACCCATAGCAACCCGTATCAACTCATAGCAAGCTGTAGTAACCCATAGCAACCCGTAGTAACCCAAAGCAACCCGTAGTAACCCATAGCAACCGGTATCAACCCATAGCAACCGGTATCAACCCATAGCAACCCGTAGTAACCCAAAGCAACCCGTAGTAACCCATAGCAACCGGCATCAACCCATAGCAACCCATAGTAACCCATAGCAACCTGTAGTAACCAATAGCAACCGGTGTCAACCCCAAGCAATGGAGGAGATGCAGCACCTCTATTCCTGCCAGGCTGCCAGAGAACGGTCGGTCCACCAGGCGGGGCTTGTATGTGAGGACCGTGGTTCCCTTCAGGATGATGGCGTTGGTGTCGAGGCAGGAAACGTCCTCCACCACCACAAACTCTGTGCCTGGACAGCAAAGAAACAAGCCAACATATAAATTATGAATTGCTGAACGGAACCACTGAGGGTCAGTGAGCTGTCTTTACTCACCTGTGACGTTGATCTTCACCTCCAGGCAGCGGTCCTGACTGACCATCACCGTGGACCTCTTCGTCACCACGCCGCTCTTCACCGTCTTTGGCATGACGGATGCGGCGGCGCTGCTGGATGCGGCGGTGCTGCCGGATGCGGCGGTGCTGCCGGATCCAGTGCAGGGTTGCTGACTCTCCATGTCGTTTGGGGCGTTTTCAGGCTGCAGCTGCAAGAAGTGATGCACCAGCTGCAGCCAGTCGAAGATCAGGAAGACCCGCAGGTTGTTGAGGACGACCGTGAAGCTGGACGAGTCCCGTGTGGATCTACGCAGAACCAGAGCCGGGCAGTAGCCAGTTACTCACGTAAATGCAATTGAGTAAATATGACTTTTATTATTATTATTATTATTACTTTTAGGAGTATTTTTACTAAGCTGTACTTTTTACTCTTACTTGAGTAACATTTCTGGATTTTCTACCCAGTAAATGAAAAACAAACACGTTTTAACCAAAAGTTCACAGACACACACCTGCAGTTTCTGTTAGTTTTATATGTTGTTTTATTGAAAAAAATGTACTTGATAACAATTATTTTGTCTGATTTTGTTATTTTTTGTTAACTATATTAATTATTTTCATTTTGGTCCTTAAAATAAAACAATTCCACCTAACTTTATATTTTGGTCTGTCTGATTTTGTCATTTTTAAATATTAAATGATTGATAATTTGATCAGTTACTCAGTAGTTGAGTAGACATTTTACCAAATACCGTCTTTCTCATTTTACATGTACTTGAGTAAAAACATGTTGAAGGAGAGCTACTCTTACCAGAGTATAATGTTTGGATACGCTACCCACCTGTACGAACAGCACACCTTCATGCATGTGCTCATATTCTGAGTAATTTGCTGTGAGTCACCTGTAGTGCAGCTCCAGCTGCAGAGACGCCCGGTTGGTTCCTGTTTTCGAAGGCTGCAGGATGCAGTCGAACACGTTGAACCTGCTGTCTTCGCTGCTTTTCGTGGTGTCAGTGTATCTGGTGTCGTTTGCCAGCAGAGAGTGAGACACCAGGTTCACTGACTTGGAGCCGTCGGACAAACTCTCAAACAGGACTTTGGATTTCACAAAGTCAAACCTATGCAAGACAAACACACCAAAACCATTAAAAAACAACATATTTCATGTGTTTAAGCCTTTAAAAGGCCTCCGCATGTGTTTGTGTTCAAGTTTTTAGGTTAATTTTTGGGAATTTCTTTATTTTTTTATCAATACCAAATATGGTCTACAATCCTAATTTGGACGTTTTTCAGCTGTAATAAAGTGTTTTATACCAGAAATTCTTCAGGATGTTGATTTGTGATGCATAGATGGTTGAACTGGTCTGACAATCACTGACAGGATTTCAAACCAGTTTTTGTAAAATCCAACATTTTCAGGCTCATATTTCCAAAGTTTTTTGACTTTTGTGACCAGTTTTAAGTAAAAATGCGGGTGGTGGGACTCCATTAAAATGTTTTACTGACTTAATTACAGAGTCTGTATTTAATTAATTGCATTTTAGTTAAAGCTATATGTAAAATTGACAAAATAAGCAATATTTACAATCCAAAAACCCTTTTTGCTTCAAACTAACTGAATAAGTAGACATATGAGCTCAACAATAAAGATATTTATCATTTTTAATCTATTATTTAGGTTCTTCAACCACTAGATTGCAGCAAAATGTTATTCTATCCATTCATTTCTCTGGTGTTTCAGGAAGATGATTGTTCATGGAGCTTCTTTAGAAATATGTATGCTGACATTAGCGTTAGCTGCTATATGTTTAGCATTGAGATGCTAGCATAGCTTCACTGATAGGCTAACTCCTTTTAGCACAACAACAGTCTTTTCCAGCCTCCAATCAGATTAATTAACCTGCAGGGCGCCGAGAGACGCAGCTTCTTCATCCATCATTGACTGCGGAAGTCGCTTGTGCATCAGATTTACGGTCGTACCAGAAACATAATACAAAGGTTCCAGTGCAAGACTTTTATAGGTTAAAAAAAAAAGATTTAATATGTTAAAGATTTTAACATATTAAAACTGACGTCGCTAATTAATCAAAATTAAAGCTCTGCTTCTAAGAAAACAAACATGCCCTGAATTAATTTATAGAAAGCTGAGTGTAATAATTATCTTTCACTCCATCTATTTGCAGCAGCAGATTACATTTACACGGTTAATCCCAATATACAAGCACTATACAAAATATTAGTCCGTTTTAGGACTTTAACTTCGGATGGTGGGTCAAACTGAAATGGGTCGGTACTGAAAGGATTTTCAGGAAGTTATTGTTGTTGTTCTTATTTTAATTCTTCTAAAATTCAACCTTAAATCCTGAGAAAGCCATAATTTTGACAGAGAGGGGAATATGCGCCTGAGTGAGAACCTGAGCGGTTCCTTTAGGTTCTGTAAGGAGGAAGTTCACCTGGCCAAAGAGTTCCTGCTGTCAGCAGAGGTGGGGCTGTCCAGCAGCTCCAGGCTGACGTCCGTCATGTCCACCAGGAAGGACAGGTTGGTGAAGACGGTTCCACTCAACACCGTCTGAACACAGCAATATCAGAGACGGTCAATGTTTTATTAAATGAGAGGAATGTGCAACTAAAAGAGAAGTTCAATGAAAACCTTTCTGGTAGATAAATTATATAATTCAGCTGTTACAGAAATTAATGCAAAAATCAGCAGAATTAATCCATAATTGTGAGTTTGTTGAAAATTTTCCACATAAATGCTCAAAATCAGCAGCTTAAGTAATGCTAACTCACCTGTAGGTGGCAGTATTTCTTACTCCTATAGGTAAACCGACTCTTTTTTTGTTCCTTATGTAGTTTTGTAATGTCATTTTTTTGTTTGTGGTTTTTATCGTGAAATGTGCAATACAAAAAAAGTTTTACTTACTTACTTTTAATGAGGAAAACATTGCAAAATTCCTTGCAAATATTTATAAATTAGCAGAACAAAATAAGAAAATCTGATTGCAAAACAAAAAGGAAACACCAAATAATTAAACTGAGAAATCCTGGAGGGAGTGTGGAAAATTGATAGAAAATGAGAAAAAAGTGAATGAATGCTGAAACATAGCAGAATAAAATTCATACAGAAATCAAACAGTCTGCATGTGTAAAGGAAAGCAGAGATGTGTGCAGGGTTCCTCACGTAGCTGCTGGGGTGCTGCAGGTTGTACGGCCGCAGGAACTCCTCCACCGGTTCCCCCAGGTTGTTCTCCAGGATGCCCCGGATCAGCTGGTAGTGCTTCCTGTCCAGGGAGCAGTGAACCGACGACAGGCTGCCGTGAATGGACGTGTCCGGCACGGCGTGGCTCAGCTCCCTGGAGACACAAGGCTGAAATCACTGAACGCAGCGCAAACCGAGACCCAAAACAGACGCCATCTCTTTAAAAACCTCCACACAGCCGAGGCGACGTGTGGGAGATGTGCACGCTCCACATTAATGTAACCAAAGCCTGTTTCAGACTTTATGGTGCCGTTCCGAGAAGAAAAAAAGAAAAAAACGTCAAAGATATAAAACCAAAACCTGGTTTTACAAACAGGGTTTGGTTATAAAACGCAACAAAAACCTGAAATGATAGGAGAAAAATCAGCTCCAAGCCTGGAAAGTTGATTATTGATGACAATAATCAACGTAACACTTTGAAGATCATCTTCACAAAAACACTAATGAGATAAAACAAATCCAGTTCGCAACTATTTCACCCAAATGTGAAGTTGTGAGGAGAGAAGCTGCTTTTTAAAACATAAAATATTACTTTTTGGTGAAGAGTAAAAGTTTCAAATTTATTTAACCCAATAATCATCTTCCTGGGACCACACAGATGGTAATGTATTGCTGCAGGCCAGGGGTGTCCAAAATGCGGACCGTGGGCCATTTGCAGGCCTCCGAACAATTGTGGGCGGCCCTTGATTACAATTCAAGCTTTATTATTTCATTAGAATATTGTGTGTAGGGCGGCAACTAACACTTATCTTAGTAATCGATTAATCTATCAACTATTCTGACGATAAAACGGCACTTTCTACAGATTTTCCTTTGTCAGTTTTTGTCAGTGTAATTAAAAGAAAGCTACTAAAACGTTGTGGCCCCTGAACAGCTCTAATGGCCATTTTGGGCCCCGATCCGCAGCGTTTGGACGTACTTGTCCAGGTTGCGCTCCACCTTCAGCGTGAGGCGGCAGCAGTCTTTCAGCAGGTTGTCTCCGGTTCGACGGACCCAGTAGGAAGGGAAGATCAGGTCCGAGGGCTCGGGCTTCCCGGTGCTGTCCCAGCAGGGCAGGCGCTCCGCGGCAAAGATGTCCATCTCCTGCAGGTCCAGGGCCATGCAGTCCAACAGACACACATGGCCTTCTGCAGCAGGAAGGGACAGCAGGTCACAGCTTCTGAAACCTTCTGAAACCATGTCTGACTTTGACTAACCCGAGCTGGTCCGGTCCTCGTCCTCAGGGCCGGTTCTGCTGTTCACCGCTTTGGGTCTGCTGAGGCCAAATCCTGACGATGAGGCGGAGCCGGAAGGGAAACTTCTCGGCTTCTCCTGAGCCTGAGCATTACTCGTTCCTTCGGCTGCGCTCCTGACGCGCTCCTTTGTGAAAAAGAAAGCAACATCTGATCACTGCATGCAGGACAAAAAAACGGCACTACTACAAAGTTTTAGAGATAAAACTCGATTGTATTCAACAGTTTTTATCTACCTCCACAAACGTCTGGAAATCAGGGTTTGACTGACAAACCTGCTCACCAAGTTACATGTGAACATGTGCAGCTAACAAAAACACAAACCAGCCCAGAAAAAAATGTTTCTCAGTAAAGTTACAGCCTGGAATCCCAGAGGTGAAAACTGGATCAGTGTGTTTCCACCACAGTCTGTAGGGATACATTTGGCTGTGGTGATGCATGAGAAAATGCAACATATGACAGGAACAACAGCCAGTCTGTGCTGCAGAGATTTCAGGTTCTGATCATGGTCTCAGGTGGGTGGGAACAGGAGGAAAGGGTCACAGCAATCAGACAGAATTCACCTCACACCACAGCAGAAGGTGGCAGCTGTACCTGGTAGCGGGACAGCTCCTTGTATGAACGTCCATGCAGTATAATATTCTTAAAAACACACACAAGGCGCATGTGAACGACTAGAAGGAGCTAAGACAACATTCAGCTATGAGGTTAGTTTATTTAGCTTGTTTCTCTCCTGACCAGAGATGCAATGTGTCTCACTGATTCATCCAAATCATTACAAAGGGAATAACTTCAGAACCAAACATTTTGGTTTGGACCTTTAGACTTTAAGGTTAGAGGTGCAAAACTAAAAGGATTCTGGCTCAAGTTCACCTGCTTCTGGAAAACCCCCCAAAAGGAAAGCATAAATCCTTAGAAAGGTCAGTATTAACCTTAGACAGGAAGTGGACCAACAGATGCTTTTATTGTGAAGTTCTCCATCAATATTCTCTGAAAATCTCCATAAGACTAAATGAAAACTTCCTTAGCAAACTATCTCAACTCCAATATCAGACAAAACTGAGTCTAACTGGATTAAGTTAGTGTTTTTTACGTTAAAAAGCGAACAATGGACAAACATAAAAGATGCAGAAATTAGTTGGTTACAAAAACATTCTTTCAGTGAAGCTGAATTCATTCAGCATTTCAGAAAAAAAGTTTTTCATGAGTGAATCTGTGGAATGTCATGAAAGGCCTGCATGAATTCGGGTTTGTTAGCAGAACCGGCGGCTGTGGGGCGGCGTGTTCGTGTCTGACTCACCAGAGAGGGGAAAAAGGCGTGCGCCATGGTGAGTTTCTCTACCTTGTCTCGGAGGGAAACGGTTCCGTGCGACCCGGCCGGCAGGAAGACGTTCTGCACCTTCAGCTGGCCCAGGTTGGCCACGATCACCCGGGGCGACCGCGAGCTTTCCGGGATGATCAGAACCGGCGCGCCAGCGTCGATGTCCAGCAGAACCCTGGATGCCCTCTGAGGCTGATCATGCACCTTCAGAGGGAGGACAGAGCCCGTTACCCCAGTTACCATGGAAACGGGGTTGGACCTGGGACTCGGCGACGTGCGCTGAGGTTCCCGACTCACACATCCAACATCCAGTACAGAAGCTTACATTTCAATTTTAACGTAAAACGACTGAAGGTTTTTAATTTTCATTCAATCTTTACGCAGATTCAGCTTTTTCATACTTTGACCTTTTTAAATTCTGCACCTAAAAATTAACCAAAGTATTGTATTTTATATTATGTATGCATTGATTAGGTAATGAATACTGAACAGATAATCAGCCAGCGGTGGCAGATTAGCTAATTTAAACACCTGCTCTGCTGATGATCTGTCAAAGTTGGTGAGTGAATCGCATTTTATGTTTAACTGAACTGAAACACACTGAATTCCACAGCACATCTACATGTTATTGTTGTCATAGTCAAGCTAGCATAACCGAACAACTTCCCTCTCTCTTGCTATTGTTTCTTAATTAAAACTTTTTCCTGACCTTGTTATCTAGTTCTCCCAACGTTGACAGTTAGTAGCAAAGCACTGGGTCCCTTTTTCTTTTATGAATCACAGAAACATTTAAGATTTAGCGTGTTATGTTGACAACCTGATAGCTAAAACCAATGCTAGTCGTCGTCAGTGACTCCTCCAGCATGGAGACAGGGGCGGATTCTCACGCTGGACGTCACGCCTGCTCCATTCAATCTGTGTGACACAGCGCCCCCCAAAGGTGAGCTACAGCACTACACTGCCTCACCCTGGACCTTTTCCATAAATGTGAACAGGCAATGAGTAAATTCAGCGATTTTGACCATAATTATGCTGATATTACCAATAAAAAAACAAATTTATGTTCATAATTCCTCATCTTTAGCATCTACTTTACTTATCAGGATTAGAGGTGAGCCTCCCCTGACTGCACGTCCCAGGTGGGCCTGGTGGTTTGGACTCACCGCCTGGCCCTCCATGGCCGCCCTCTGTCTGCCCAGGACGTCCTGCAGCTGGGTGAAATGCTGGATGAAGGCTACCACCTCGGCTTGGAAGCGCTGCGTGTGAACGTACTGAACAGACGCCATCTGCAGCAACACCTTGACGTCACACTCACGCTGCAGGTCGGGATCCGGCCGGCCGTACCTTCAAGCGTCAGAACGAAGGAGAAATCAGGTGGGAAACGGTTCCAGCAGAGGCAGTCGTAATGAGACTATCCGTACCTGAAGATGTTGAAAACCAGCGCCTCCCCTCCCTGTGTGGTGAAGCGCTCTCTGTAGAAGTCGCCGTGCGGGGTCAGGTCACTCAGGGACAGACTGCCCAAACTGCCGTGTATCCTCAGGTCGCCGTCTGCAGTCAGAAATTAAAGCTGTGAGTGAATGTTTGGCTGCAGGAAGCTGATGTGAATGGTTCCTGAACGTACCGCGCTTATCAAGATGAGCGGAGAGTTTTGACACGCTCGCTCTGGCCAGTTCATGGAGCTTCTTGTTCAGGATGAGAGTCAAAGAATGAACCTGGAAAAAGGACAGACGGGTCAGCAATGGCACCACTTCACTTCAGAGCTGCTGAAAAACCGATCAATAAAGCAGCATTTACAATGTTCAATGAACTGTTTGAACATTTGATCAGAGCAGAAGAGGACAGCGGCTGTGGTGAGGGAGAGAAGATCGGCTTCACATGTAAGTATCGGCTGATCACCCAAAATTAAGAAAATTGGTGCCGATAAATCAGTGCTTCAAAATCATCATGTTAGTGTTTCTTGTTACCAGGTGCCAAAAGGTGAAAAACTTCATGAGAGCTGGATCAGCTGACCAACCTTGAGGTCCAGCTTGGTGTTGACCGTCGGCGCTGTCTCTCCCTCCTCCTCCTCTTCGCCGCCGTCCGGCTCGTACAGCAGATGTCCGGCCACTGGCTGGGTGGCGGTGGCCGGCGGCTTCACCGCATGGTTGTTGGCCGTGGAGCCGATGCCGAAGAAGTCCAGGATGACGACCCAGGTCTGGAGCGTGATCAGGATGTCCAGGCAGTTGAAGTCCACGTCCACACTGCGGCCGACGCTGTCGTAGCGCGTCCTGAACTCCGGGTGGCCGGCCTCCACCAGCAGCACATTGATGTGAACCAACGAGTCCTCGAAGTTGGAGTCGGGCTGCGGGGAGCCGGCGCGCGGCGTCGGAGAGGGAGGCGGAGTGCTGGGGAAGTCCGGGTCCTTCTTAGACTTGCGGCTGGCGGACGGCGTGGCGGGGTGCCTCTGGTAGGGCTGGAAGACGTTCTGCGTCTCCTTGATGTGGGCGGGCAGCGAGCGCGGCATGTCCGGGGACAGAGCGTTGGAGGTCGACGGGCAGCTGCGGGACAGGTACTCCTTGGAGCTGAAGGTGGACGGCTTGGGGACGCCGTGGGACTTCATCAGGTGCTTGTACTTGGAGTCGGGGTTGGGGTCCAGCAGGTCCTCCATCAGCAGCGCGCGCAGAGCCAGCTGCACCTCCAGCAGCTGCGGGTGGTCCTTGGTGAAGCGGCCCTCCAGGTCCTGGAAGCGCACGCTGACCAGACCCTGGGAACCCTGCGTGAGGTCTGCGCTCAGCTGGACCTGCAGCTCCGCCACCAGGAGCGTGACCTTCAGCTGGGTGAAGGTTGGCGGCTGAAGGACGGGCCGGTGAGACGGCAGGGACAGCGGGGAGGACAGGGAGGAGCGAGAGAAGCTGATGGAGGGCGGGTCTCTGGCGAACAGGCCGCCCTGGGGGTCGGGGAAGCCGTGGGGCCTGGAGGAGGACGGGGTGGGAGGGGGCGGCGTCGGCGGCTGGGTGGGGGTCGGAGGCTGCTCCTCAATCAGGGACAGGTTGTCCAGAGTCTGGAGGACTTGCTCATACACGGGTTTACACAGACAAACCTACAATAAACACAACAGGATCAGACTGAGGAAGGACAAAAACCAGCTGCTAACCACAAACTGACGACTATCAGCAACACATTCAGAAACCAGAACCTGTATTCTCACACTGCAAAAACACCAAGTAACTTTGGTCTAGTATCCACAACAAATGTCTGATCACACTTTAAATAAAACAAAATTAACTTAATGGTAAGATGTAGGAGATTGTTTTAAGCCAATAACTCTGTAAATCTGCAGAATGTGACTTTTATAAATACATTTTTTACATATCTATTAAAACTGTCCCCATGCTGCACCAGTTTGTAATGAGACAGGTAATCTGTGAAACATCTAGCTCCCCTGCTACTACTGCTGTCTGAAGAAACACTCCAAAAACAACCAGTCAGAGCCAGGAGGAGGGGCTTAGTGCTGTCAATCAACCTCATGTACAGAACTTGCCTGAACAGGGTTGACAAATTTTCCGTGGACTCTCAGCTGGCCTGTGCTTCTGAAGGGCTCGTCTGTGGTCAGCAGGATGTACTCAGAATCCTCATCGACTGGAGTTTTCTCAAAAGTGAAGTGAATAGTGGTGTCTTTCAGTATGTGGAAGGCTGATGAACAGAAAAAAGCTAAATGTTAAATAAATGATGTGTGAAACAGACCAAGGTCTGTCCCATTCACCAGAATATAATCCAAAAGATTATTTATCCAAGCAGGTAAAGTCATACAGATTCATATTATGAGTCTTTACACACAGAGTGATATAATACAAACATTATGTTTATTTTGATTAAAGTCACTTACAGCTTCTCTGTAATTTTAATATTATATATGTTAATTTAAATATTACGTTAAGCCAGATATAATCAAAGACTGGATAGTTTTTAACCTGGATAAGTGGGGAGGTCAGCTGAAAAAGTTCACTCTTTACAGAGGGCTGAACCTAAGCATAATCGTGGAAAGTTGAGTGGAAGGAAGAAGTGTGGTAGAAAAAGATGCAGTGGAAAGCACCGAGCACCAATCTGATGGTGAAATAACATAAATAATAACAATAGATATCTTTGTTGTTGACCTCATATGGCTATTTTCTCAATAATTTAGCGGCAAAAAGAGTTTATGAATTGAGAATTGCTTATTTTGTCTATTTATGTCTTTCCATTAAAATACCATTAATTAATTACAAAACCTGCAATTAACTCAATTAAACATTTTAATAGAATCTCACCTCTAGTTATAATGTAAACAATTAATCCACTTACAATAAATTGTATTTTAGTGGTTTATTAGAATTTGTTCCAATCGATTAATGCCCATTTAGACCTTCTTTCAGAGTTGTGATTTGGCCTCCATCCAGCAGAGGGCGCCACTTGGTCATCCATAAGCGGAGCCAGTTGATACAAAATTAAAGATGGCAGCCACATTAGAACAGGAAAGACACACGGTACAGAGTGGTTTGGGATGTAAAATGCAATTTATGTGTTTTTTGTTTTTAAATTTTAATTGTTAGCTGCTCAGAAAGATTAATCAACTTTAAATCATCTCATTAATTGGTAACTTTCATCCCTAGTTATAATCTTCTCACCTTCTCCTCGGCTGAGGGACTCGAAGAAGTCGTGGCGTGTGAACTGGGATTCATCCTTGTTGACGTTTCCAGTGTGGGATGGTGAAGACGTGTCGGCTTTCTCCTCTCTGGGCGCTCTCTTCAACACCAAGTGACTCGTGTTGACCGAGTACAGTCGGCTGTCCTTCACCAGCACCTCCAGCCTCTCTCCCTGAGAGTCTTCGTCATTGACAAAGTTCTGGATGGTAATGCTCCCCAGATGGCCGACCAACAGCTCGGGGTGTCCGGGTTTCCGAGGAAAGGATACGACGGGCGACTCGATGCTGATGTTGAGGGTCAGCTTCACGAAGAAGGTGTCCAGGGCGGATTCGGGCTGCCCAACGGAGACGTCCTCCTCGTGGTCAAACGAACTCCCCCAGCTATGGCTGGAAGTGTGGGTTCTCCGTGACGGTGTCTCGAAGAGCAAAACCCTGCCGCTGTACTCCGCCGTCTTGGAGGCAAGAACCGTCGACACGCTCGTGGCGGCGTTTTTGAACACGGAGCGGAAACTGTCCTCCAGTTCGTTGGCCGACAGTGTGAGGTCACGCAGGAACCTGGCTGAGTGGTTGTAGTGCAGAGACGCCATTTCTAGCTTCAAGGAATACTCTCCCTCAGATTTCTCCTTCAACTGAAAGTTCAGAGCATCTGTTGGAGACTCTCGGTCGTCGGGCAGAAACGTTAAACCTTGGGGTCTCGAGTAGCTGTCCTCAGCACTCCCAATGCTGACCACAAACTGGTTTCTTCCTGCCTCTTGGGTTAAATCCACCAGCTGCAATGATCCCAGGGAACCGCTAACGTCCAAACAGCTTCCCAGGGAAACGTTGACCTTGGTGCCAGAGATGCTGGCGGTGGCGATCTTCAGGCCCTTCTTCTCGACTGCCAGGGCGGTGCCGGAGGAGACAGTCCGCAGGAGCAGCAGATTCAGGCGGTGGATCTCCACGGTTAGCTCCTTGTTCTGGTCGTACGTTGCCTGATAGGCCCGGTCGTCTTCCTCACTGGACAGCTGCGTTGGACACTCCTGGGTGGATGATGCATTCTCCTCTTTGGGGAAAGACTTTTGGAGGAACTTGAGCAGCTCCCCCATGGTCTCAGGGTTGAGAATGATGTCCAGGTTGTTGACCTGAATGCTGGTGACCTGGAGGGAGTTGTTGAGGTCCATGGAGGGACAGTCTGAGCTCACAAACTGGTACTCGAGCCTAATGAGGGCGTCTTGGTCTTTCAGGAAGGAACTACAAGGGGAGAGATCAGAGAATGACCCAGAATGGACTCCAGGATGCTCAGAGGTCCGCTCGTCACACAAAGTGGGGGAAGACGGCTGGCTTTCCCTGAGGCTACCGGTGGGAACGTCAAAGCTTAGATGCTTATGAGACGCAACGAGCAGGTCGAAGTCGGAGCCGTACGTCTGCAGCGTGTCGACCAGCAGAAATCCATGAACGGTCAGAGCGACTTCTACGTCATAAGGTCGCTTGACAAAATGAGCGTTAGTGCCAAACACTTTAAAAACGGAAATATAGCGGCCGTTGCTCTCCACACCGAGCTGCATGTAGTTGATGTTGAACTCAGCCAACAGCAGGTGGGATTCCACCAGGACTTCCCGTGTGTGCTGCTCTAACGTCATCACGCTCTGCGTCAGGTTTTTGGCAGAATCGTGGAGTTTCCACGAACTGTCTACTCTGTGGAAGATCTTGTCCCGGCGCAGCGTGGGAGGGTCAGGGGACCCTACGCTTGGATCTTTCCCCGAGCCGCTGTCGCCTTCTGCTGGCCCGGTTAGCCGCACCAGACAAGTCCTGATGGCGGTCATCTTCTCAAGGTTGATGTGCACCTTTAGATCCGGCAGCGTTCCCGACAGCACCGCACCGGGCAGCTGAGGGTCCGAAGTGTAGCGCAGCCGCTGCTCAAGCTGCAGCAGGACGTTAAACTTCTCCACAACGTGGGTTGGTCCCACTTCGCTGTCCTGGAGGTGCTTCCAGCTGTCCTTGTAGCGCCCGACCATAATCTGCAGGTCCTTGAATGAAAGGCAGTACTTCTCATAGAGCTTTTTGCTGTAGGCCTTCACAGCCTCCGGAGATCTGAGGTTGGGAAGTTCTGGGTTTTTAAACAGCGTTTTTGAAGGCACTTCGGTTGCAAGCGGAGACTCGGGCGGGGTGGCCAGAGGAGTTTGGTACTCTTCGTCACTCTGGACGTCCTGCTGAGGTTGAGCAGCTGTAGAGCTGATGACGCTGTCATCTTCAGAGAGGGGAACAAATATCAGCAGTTACAGGGTGAATTAAATCCCATCAGATGGAAAGAGAGGATAACTGTCGGCTGCTTCACCTTGAGAGTTGGTCAGAAGGATCCTGCCTAAGTCCACCACAACGAGCATCGGGTCTTCCGACTGGAAGTCATCGGGGAAAACCACCTGAGGCGCGCAAATATCCAGCTTCATCGTCCAGCGCTTGCCGTTCTCCTGCAAAAGCGAAACATGTCAGTAGATTTGAAGTTTATATCTGCTTCATGTGACATTCCAGCAACTTTTTTCTTACAATGAACTCTCCAACGAGCAGCTGGTCGATAGTTTGTCGAATCTCTGCCTTGGTTTGCTTCTTCAGCTTGTCATACTGCCTCCTTGCCGCTTCGGCCACCCTTAGCTCCAGCTCAGACTGGTAGCCAAACCCTGGAGGAACAAATGCAACACTTAATAAAGATCGGTCCTGTCTGGTCTTAACTAGGTCCTCAATGACTTGCATCTAATTTCAAACGAATAAAAACGGTTTTCATGCTGCTGCTGAATGTTTCTCCCCAAAACGGCTGAGTTTTGAGGTATACATTTCAAATATTTCCACTTTGGATTCATCTGTGTTTATTGAAATGCTACTAATTCCCGGTGAAAGCATAATGCTGCCCTGAACAAAGTTTGAAAGTGGGCGGAGCCAAGAGACACTGAGGGGCGTGGCCAAGCGTGGTGATGACCGGAGTGGGAAAGGGAGGCTGTTGCCAACTTAAGACTTTGTTACTGTATTTAGCAACTTTTCTAGGGACTTTTTTACAGTGTTTTTGGAGAGAAGTATGGCACCGATTTACCTTGTCTTCATGTGTAAAACCATGAAACTTAAAGAAGGCATGTTTTCTTTTTCAGATGACTCTGAGAAAGTTTTCATACTCTGTACTTACCTGAAGTGTGAACTCTTCCTTTATAGAAGAATTCAGTCACTTTTTTCATGGCTTGTGGATTGTAGATGATGTTTAATGGACTGGTGCTCACTTCCAGCCTCCTCTCAAATTTGGACCTCACAGGGTTGCGCTCGTATATCATCTCGAACACTGGAGAAGTCCACTCAGCATCGCACTCTGATAACACAACATGTGTACAGATCGTTTTGAAAGAAAGACCTTAAGCTTACTGACAGAGACGTGCAGAGCATTACTGAACTGAATAAAATAAATAAATCCTTACCAGCAGCAGCGCTGTGCTGACTCATGGACTGACTAAGGGCAACAACAACTTTGTCCTGCAAGAGGTGGACATTGTTAGACCCACAGAGATGATAAAACCAGCATTATTAAGGTGCAGGCTGATGATGCTTGTGGATTACCAGTTTGGGCGACACCAGGAAGGGGAACATGGTGCCCTGAGTGGTCAGGTCTCTGAGGAACAGACTGCCCAGCTTCACGGAGAGCAAGGACGACTCCGAGCGAGGAAGAGATTCCACGATCACCTTCACTCCTGAGTAAAGCACCACAAACATAGTGTAATTACAGGGTAATGTAACTGTAATAACATTACCCTGAAATGTAGTTACAGGGTAATGTTATTACAGGTAATGATATTAATAAGATAACCCTTGTTATAATTAACTTAGTGATAGAATATTTGCTGAATCACATATTTTGCTCTACATAAATAGAAATAAAAAAAACATGCTTGAAAGAAAAACCACTTTGAAAAACATTTATTTCCGTTATGGTAAAAATTGATAAACTGGAGCAAAAACAGGAAAGTATTACAACCAGATTCTGCAGTTGAGTATTTTTAAACAAATTTTTAAATAAATGAGATTCATTGCCAGTGTTGGGGACCGCTAACCGAAAAGTAAATTCTGCCACCGCTAAGCGCTAAACCATCTTGGTATTCAGCAGGAGCTAATGCTGAACCAGTTTGTTACTACAGCCCTTCCTGTAAGGCCTGCGATTCAGAAAGTGATTTTCTGGAACAGATTTTTCACTCATGGTTTCAGTTTTATAGTTGCTGAATTTTGCTAACGCCACAAAATACAAACTATGATTCCAAAGAGAAATCTGTTACATTTCTGAAGCACAAAACAAATTAGAACCATGTTTTTATAAAAAAATGTTTAAAATGTGTTTAATTTCCTCCAGTCATATTCAGTTTCCACATCAAAACCAGGTAAAGTTATAGGTGGAGGTTTAATACGTGGCCCACTACTTTTTTATCATTTATTAACTTCCTCTAGGTTTAAACAAAATAAAAATCAGTTGCCAACTTTCAAGTTGTTCAGTGTAATGAGTAAATTATGTTTAAAAGTAACCAAATAGTGATGGTTATTTTAATGTATTTATGTAGAAGGAAAAATAAAGTCAAGTTTCTATGTTTGCACCTGAGAACTCCAGCTGGAGGACTCCACTCTCGTGCATCGAGTCCGCTCTCCTTTCCTCGTGAAAAAGAGTGACTCCGCCCTTCTCCAAAAAGAACTCCAGTCGAGCAAACATGTAGTCTCGTCTGGTGAAGGTGTTCAGAGTGTGTGAGTCCTCCAGTGGGTCGAACAAATCCCCTGTCTCTGCTGGAGAAGAGTCAGAAAAGTTAAAGATTACAGCGTAAAGCAGATCACTCTTCCACAGCTGCATGGGTAACAGATGAGCGCCGAGCCGCTTTCAATCCACAGCCTGACCTAGAATATCCCAGGATGATGGACTTGGCAGGAGTTCTTCAGGTGTCTCCAGATCCTCCGCGTTCCCAGACCAGCCGCCCCAACCAGGGAACCAAGACTGCAGGTACTGAATCATTCTGTAGCTTCCACTTTTAGGAACGGATGTGGCAGGCGGAGCAGCCTGGGGGCTGCCGCTAGGCTCCCGAATGTTCTGCAAGAGACAAGAGTGGACAAAATTAAATCTGTTACAACAAAGTCTGGGAAGTTACATGTAACACGCAGATTAGAAAATGTTAGCTTCAAAGGGCTAAACAGGAGTTGCATCGTCTTTTTCTACCACATTTTTTCCTTTAATGATATGCACTTCTATATTTGCAAACCCTGTGATCATCTAAACGTACATCTGCCATCTCTTCCTGCAATCGAAACCTGTCATGGACAACTTCTCTGAGAATCTGCAGCTCCTCCAGTGTCTGCTCCTCTTCAACTCGTTCTAGTTCAGCCTGAAACACAGAAGCCAGAAGAAACTAGTTAAAACAAAAGCAGCTTATAAAGCTCCAACAAAACATTTAAAAACACAAACATTCACTGTACTTTGAATTACAAAAGAATTTCAGTAACACTTTAATTGACGGGTTGTGCATAAGACTGACATAAACATGAAGGAGTCTTTATGAACGTCTGTGACTCACGAAATAACACGTAATGCAAAGTTGCATTGAAAGTCTGTTAAACGAGCCAAGTTTGCGTGAAAGTGTCATTATTTACAAAATAAAGCACAGTAACACATGGAGTTCCCCAGGGATCCGTTCTCGAGACACTTTTACATCCTCCACCCCGCAGGGAGTAAAACATCAATGAGTTTATTTTTGTAGCACATTTCAGCAACCAGGCAGTTCAAAGAGCTTCACATCATAAACAGACAAAAATAAAACGTTATAAAAACAACTTACAGTCACGATTTGAGAAACCAGAAACAATTTTACATTTTGTTGAGTGTAAAAAATCTTGAGAAAATATGCAAGGAGAAAATTTTTAACTTTTTATGACTAATTTAAAAATCTAATTTTTTAATTCACCACACTTAATACGAGTTCGACTGAAAACAGTCAGATGCTTTTAGTCATTAACTAATCAGTGCATCATCAAAATTCACTGATTTTGATCATGAAATTTACCAACTGGTCACATTTAAGGAATCAGTAATTATCAAATATGCTTCAGGTGTAAAAAACTGATCTGGTTTAAAAATTAAAATATATTTTCTTAAACTTTACTTAAACTTTCTCAAACTGTTGGTAAGATTAACAAAATCAGTTTTCATGACAACATAATATTGCTTGTATTGCAATGATGTTTACTGCATGGTGCCATGGATGTGCGTTATACCTCGTCCTCTGGACTCAGGGAGGCGGCTTTCAGCCTCCTGAAGTAGAGGCCGGTGTAGGTCTGGGCGTCCCGGGCGCGCTGCAGGGCAAACGCCCAGCTGCCTCGCCTCCGCTGCTCCCTGATGTCACTCAGGTTGGCCTGAATGGCAAACAGCCACCATATGCGGCCGCTGGGGAGAAATCAACGAGGAAATTCAGTCAGAAATCAGCAAAATGGCAAAGGAAAATAGAGCCAGGAACAATAAAAACCCTGAAGTCATTGATTAATGCAACAGTGTCTTCATAAAAAAAAAAAAAAAAAATCAATCGTCCAGCCGCAGCTGATCCAGAAGCTGCTGCTGGAGTTCTGAGCAAAACCAGGAAGATGGAGACACCATCCAGTTCTACACCACCCGGCTCTACACCACCCGGTTCTTCACCACCCAGTTCTTCACCACCCAGTTCTTCACCACCCGGTTCTACACCACCCGGTTCTTCACCACCCGGTTCTTCACCACCCAGTTCTTCACCACCCAGTTCTACACCACCCGGTTCTACACCACCCGAAGAAGCAGCATTCAGCTTTTATGCACCACAAATCTGGAACAAAAACTGTAAAACAGCCGAAACACTGAGTTCTTTTAAATCTAGACTAAAACCCAGCTGGTTATAAACCAGTTAAAATGTTTCAGAAGCTCTGAAACATTTTAACTGAAACATTGACCAGCATTTTGATGTGTAATGATGGGACTTGCAAAAATGTAATGTTTCAATTGTTTATTTTTGTGTTTTTATGATTTAAAACACTTTGAACCACCTTGCTGCTGAAACATGCTATACAAATAAACTTGATTGGTGATTGATTGGTTGATTAAAGACAGCACTTACTTCCCAGAAATCGGGACTTTGGGTCTCCATGTTCTGTACAGCATCCCTCTCTCTCTGCGCTCCACTTCTTTGAGGAAAGCCATGATCTGCTGGTACTGAACCTGTAAGAAAATATCAGGAAAACGCAATAAAAATGCTTTCAGAGAGCAGAAACATTCAGATATCGTCCAGAAAGAAATGGGCTGTTTTCTCTGCTGAACCTGGGACAGACGTAAAGACATGGGCTCCAGCTGGATCTGGCCCTCGATCCGAGGGATGTTCCGGGTCCTCAGCGGCTCCCTGGAGGTGTTTCTCCTGAGCAGCACAGAGGCGCACACTGGCTCAAAGATGTACTGGTGCTGGCGACTCTGCATGCACCGAGTCATCGCATCCTGCCGGGATGGAAAACAGTCAGAGAATCACAAGGCGCCATTCCTGAGGTCTTTTACTGCTGCATTTCAACGAAAAGAGCAAAATGTCTGTTTCACGCTTTACAGAAGGAACTCTATCATCCACATGAAGATGCTCAAACATCTTTGCGTCTATGCTGTTTAGCTGAGTTAGGAGTCATTTACAAAAGTGTCCCAGAATTATCACAGGCCTTTATCCTGCAGCAGAAACTCTCAGGATGAGGCGGAGAGGGCGGGACACACCGTGATCTTTGCACCGTTTCAAAGAGCCACACAAGCGTATAAATCAATAAAACTAAATGTGTAACCAACCTGGACCTGGCTTGCAGGCAGCTTTCCCAGCATTTCACACTTGGTATCCCAGTAAACGCTGAAGTCTTCAATCTCCAGCTGCTTTTGTTTGAAAGGCTTATGGATCTGAGAAAAAAACAAAACCTTATTTAACACCATGGACTTAGACCGGCTCAAAGCTTTGTTTAAAACCAAGTTGATTTAATCATCCTCAAATCTCTGCAAACTGTAGTTAAAACTACAGAGGTGTGAATATGATATTGACTGTAAATAATAAACAACTTAACATAAAAGTTCTGACTCATTAAGGTCCCGCTTTAGCGCTAGCTTCCACTAAATACCATGTTGGTTAGCACGTTAGCGTCATTGGAACTAAAGTTTCTGATTAGTGCTTTAGAGTTAGCCGCCACCACTGCTCTTTACCCATCTTTAAACTTTTTGTGCATTTTTTTAAACCTAAGATTCAAACTTGCTAAAAATAAAAATAAAAACAGTAACTTTACTCTGCAGTTAAAAACTGATGAAAGAGCAGAAGAAGCTAATCACGAGTACATTTGTTTTCATGGACATGATTCTTTGAAGGACGAACGCTTACCAACTCTTTTGAGGGATTATGAGCCGACACGCTGCTAATGCAAACGCCAAAAGAAAAGGTCTTCTCCGCGATGGAAACGTCATCCTCAAACCGTAGGTGAACATTTTGGATCTTCAGCTGAACACAAAAGGCAGAAAGAAAACAAGTCATATTCACCAGTAACACTAGTTTATAATACATGATATGAAAGTATATGAAGCAGAATGACGCACTTCAATGTTTTCAACAATCCTGGTGACGACCGAGGCGGTGACAGAGTACCAGTACGACTCTCCTCTCTGCTCACATTCACTCTGCAGGAGCCACACAGGCATGATAACAGAAAATGTCAACAATAATCAACAGAAGAGACAGAAACCTATAAAAACAGGAAGAACCAAAAATTTTACTCACTTTGAATTTATCTTCAATAGTTCTGAGGAGGTACTTTTTGCGTTCCCTCGCTTCCTCATTTTCCTTCTCTGCGTCAAACTCCTGCGGCTGCGTGGGGCCGATGATGAGGTTGAGCTGGGACATGGAGATGACCCATGGGTCACTGTAAGGCCGGTAGAATGGGATCTGCAGAGTGATCTTCCCAATAAATCCTGGAAAAGGACAACATTTTTAATACATCATAACACAAAATCATGAGTTTAAATGTGTAAAAGCAAACAATGCACAATTTTCTTATTTTTAAACTTTGGCATCAGAAAAACATGGCAGCTAAACTTAAATTATAGTGTCATTAAAAAAAATGTGAATATCACATGTGGGGTTCCCCAAGGTTCTGTTCTCGGGACACTTTTACATGTTTTAATAAAGCATAACATTTTGTACCATGCTGACGACAAACATCTTTGTATTTCAGTCCCTCTAAATCGCTTTGTGAAAGCATGTATAGAATATTAACTGGATAAATCAGAACTCCTTACAGTTTAATGCAGAAAAGAAAGAACTCTCTGTATGTGGTCCTGTCAGGACTCAGTTAAAGTAAAAACAAAGCAGGATGTTAAAATCCTAAACTCAAAAATACATTAGCCTACTACCATGTCAAAAACCAGAATTAAGACTTTCCTGTCAAAATAAGACAGAAAATTGTGTGAAAGCTTTTATTTTGGTGGGTTAAAGTGTCAGTTAAAAACAGAAAATGCTGCTGCCAGAGTCCTGACCAACAGCAAGTAAATAGACCATTATTCTTACTGATTGATGATGATCAACAGGAATGTGATCATCCCAGTCAATCAATCAATGAAGTAAGTTTGTACAGCACATTTCAGCAACAAGGTGGTTCAAAGTGCTTTACAAACTAAAAATACTAAAATAAAATGTCATAAAAACATCATGCAGTCACAACTGAGAAACCAGTAACAAACATTACATCTTGCCAAGTGCCATAAAAAAATCGTTAATTCATGTGAAGTCAGCTTCCTGGTTACACACCGTCTCATTCCTGAAATGCTGCCATAACAATTTTTTTGTCAAAAGTGATTTTTTTTAAATAACTTTTGAAACCACTTCAGGCAAAAAAGAGGATTTGGATAATTATTTCAGGAAGGTGAAAATCTAAACTCTCCAGGACCTTGCTGTCTCTAATCTTGACTTTGAGCTGCTTCTCCTCAATAAATCCTCATCTCGCTCCCTAAAAATTCCTTATTTCTAGTTTCACAGTCTACTGGTGATCCAGGGTTTGTTATTTGGTCTTTTTTTTCTCACCTGTTTTGACTTCAAATGGCAGGTCAAACTCTCGGAGGGCATCTTTCCTCAGTGGCAGGTTTTCCAGTTCCACTGCACCTGAGGATATAAATGAACGAGAAATAAAAATCAACTTTTATGCCTTAAATTCTAATTCTTGGTGTGTCACAGGATTTCCCTCCATCTTGATGAGGAAAAAGCTGCAGATCTCAATAATAAAACTTTTATTACCTTTAAGTAGCTCAATGGAGAGCTGATCTGTGTTCAGATTGCTGACATATTTTCCCAGGTAAGTGTTTAGCACCCAGGCTACGAGCCCCTCCAACATCCTGATAGCTCAGGGATGAAGAAGATGATGATGATGATGCAGAAGCTGGAGTAATACTGGTGGGGGATGATGGTGGCGGTCGCTCGCCTCACAGAGGAGGCATCTGCTGTATAACAAACACAACGGCAGAAATCTCACAGCAATGGGAATAATAACAAAAGTTATTAGCTTTTATTAGCTCCAAAGCATTCAATTTTCTAACTACATTCAAACGTGATGGCCTATTTAAAGCTCTGCTAAAGAACTCCAACTTTTCCCACATTTGTTAACAATGGAGTCACAGAAATGTAATATTATTTGAGCTTATAGATGTGGAAATCTTGGACTTCAAAATTGATGTTTATAGATGCTTTCCATCCAATCTGATTGATTTTAAGCTATTTATCAAAGAATAACCAGCAAACAAATTCACTTCTTTTATGTGCAGAGCTGCTGGAGGCAGAGCGAGTATTAACAATGGCAGTTTAAATACTAAAGCATGCCAGACTTTTCACAGCTTTATTTGTAAAAATAAAATAAAACATTCCGTTGAGTTCATAATTCTAGACTACACTGCATTAGGAAGCTGTAGGAAAACCCAGTAAAGTTTGTGGTTGTAACCTGATTGGAAGTGAAAAAGCTCGAGGTGTGAATACTTTTGCAAAACGACGGATATCCAGTTCAACAGTGAAACATGTCAGCAACTTTTGATCATCAGCAGCCATAATGAAAATAATGATATGAGGTACATAAACTGTTCAATCAAGGCTTATTTTAACAGCAACATAGGCGAAATCTCTTGAGACTTTCCTCTGGAAAATGACCGTCACCATGACAACTACTCCCCTGTATTTTGTTTCAAGGTTATTAAAATCTTGACTTACCGTGAACGACGACACTTGTCCTATCAAGCCAGCTCCATAGCCTCCATGTTTGGGACACACAAGTGAGGGTTGTTTGTGCTGTCTTATCAGAAAGCTCTCAGGACGGGACTGAAGAGACAGTTAGCCGTTATTCAGTTGCATAGCACCAACGTCCAACAACAGCACAACGTACATTAGCGCTATATGGGCCAACAGGCGGTGGCATGAGCTTAAATAGCACATAAAACAGCCAGAAAACAACCCAGCCTGGCTGTGCTCCTGGAAAGGACAGAAGGTTGTGGATCCAGTTAGCTAGCGACTTGGCTAAAGTTAGCATGCATGTTGGGGGCTTTAAGGCCAAAACAGTCCGCTTTTAATGAGTCAAAGTCTGAGGAATTATCAGCAAAATGGCTTCTTCTCAGGTACTCAGAAGGAAAAACTGCCGACAGCACTGTTTTAAACTTCAGACAGGTCTGTCACACCGACGAAAGTATCAACATCTCCGAACACCGTTCAACTATCAACGCTGGCTTCCGGTCACGTGATGAAAACAAGGCGGTCCGCTTGTGCTGCTTTCAATGACAACAGGGAAACAAGCGCTAGATAAATGGTTCTCATGTCGTAACAAGTAAACATATGAAAAACAAAAATATTTAACAACAACAATAACAACAATTATAAAAAAAGAAGAAAAAATTATAATAATAACAGAAAGTAGTTTCTAATCCCCGAAGGTATTTTTTGAGGTGAAAACTGTAAAGTTTTATAACTGCAAGCTAGTTTGCATAGACATAAAGAAAAGTTCAGTTTCATGTATTTATAAATATGCGGCATTTATTCATTGATTTATAAATTTGTAGGTATTTGTTTATTCATTTAGTTTCCCTTAAAGTAAAACAACAAACTAAACATCCTCCAAAAAACCCCACTGCATTTTTTCCCACGTCTTCTGTGAAAAAACGAGGGGAATGCAAGTTTTCACTTGTGCTTACTTATATAAATCATGTCAACCAGAAAGGGTGACATCATTTATATAACTCAAGCAAAATTTGATTTAAATTTCTTTTACCTTTGTTTATCACATGAAGCAATAAGAAGGTTGATGCATTGGTCATATATTTGTACATTTCTGTGTAATTTAGTATTTTTGTTTCACATTTTGTGCTCATATTTGTGTTATTCACCTGTTTATGTATCATTCACCTGTCCCAGTTCAGTGGTGTGATGATGTGGAGGACATTTACTTACATTTATTGCTGCTTTCCATCACTTTATGGTCCCAGTTTACATCCTCTGATGGCTAATGGTTCCTGTCACAAAGCTGAAATAATCTCAAACTGGTTTCTTCACAGTAAAGATAAGTTCACTGTATTCCAATAGTTCCCAGTCACTAGTTATCAATAAACAGACCTCCATTGAGATGCTTGATTTACATACATGCTGTTTTCCCCCCCATTTCCACAATTTGGTCGCCTTTGATATAAAGAAAAATGCAACTTTGAATGTGTTTATTTTCCTTTATTTTGTCTTTTCTTTGTTTTTTACAAAATAAAACCAGTATTACAAACACTTAAAATCAATTCCTCATTCACAGGAGTGCCATCAAATGTACATTTATACAATATATGAAAAAGAAGAAGAAGAAAGGTACAAGCGAGGTCACAGTGAAAGGATCGTTTGGCTTCTGGTGACACCATGTGGTCTTTCATCCATGTGCTTTGGACCAAAAGGGTCCTGGAAAAAATATTCTGCAAAAAGTAAAACTGTGCTGTAAAGGGAGCAGCTAAGGCCTTAAGCTTTAACACAACGTTGTTGATTTCAACTGCAACTGCTCTATTGTATCTGGGATCCTAAAAGCCATCTGATTATTTCTGTTTTTTAAATAAAAATTATGTGGGGATGCTTTTTCAGAGTGAGGCAGAGGTGGATATTTAAAAAAAGAGCTTGATGTAGAGGAGACAAGACAGCTAAAGAAAAATAACTTAATAAAAGCAATGGCTTAAGTAAAATCTGGTCTAAATACTTCTGTAAAAATCTACTATTGTAAAAATAACAAATAGCTCTTAAGTTGCAGCATTTTTTGGGTGTTTTTTAGTTTTTTGCCACAAAAAAAAAACAAACAAAAAGCAGATAGACAGGATATAATTCTCAACCTTAAATTAAAGGATATATTTAAAGAATATATGTAAAATGTTGGTGTACATCTAAATAATTGAGCTTAGTGTAATTCAATTACACTGAATTACATAATTCAGTGTAATATAATAAATTCCCCACTTTATTTGTTTAAAAACTGGTTTCTGAGCTGCAGTGGACAGCGATCAGCTGCCTGGCTTCTGCTCACCAAAACCAATCCTAACTGTGATCATGACACTGCACTTATTCTTTACTCAACTGAAAAACGAACAAAAAGTAAATTAGCGCTTTAGAATTAACGTGAAAACATTTATTTAGGGGAAGCCAAGTGTGTTAAATATTTTCAAAGTCAGCAAAAATGCTGAAGAGATAAATGAACAATTAGCTAAATGTTCCCTGATGATTTTAAATGACACAAAGTGTAATATTTGATCAAATAAAATGTGGCCAAATAAAAACCAAAACATATTTTTGAAAAGTAGTTTTAGAGGTGGTTGGTCGCCTCTTGTAGGTTGCTCTTTGTATCCACTTGAATGTCTCAAGTCTCTGAGAAAACATAAACAATAATGAAATTATAATAAAAATGGAAACTTTTGTTGGGTTTTAACTGTGCTTTCATAACTATCATCTGAACATGTTGAGCTTGTTTACTGCAAATCTGGAATCAAACAAAGAATCAGGATTTTTTCTGCTATAAGTAAATATGGATAAACATGGACCACCAAACACACGCACACACACACTCTCCACCAACACACACATCAAGAGATTACTTTCTCTACACATACAGAAGCCAAATTTAAGTGAGGTTGTTTCTGTTTTTATGTCTGTGAAGGATCCAGGTATACAAAGACGACTAGTTTCAGGTTAGAATAACATTAGTTTGACAATAATTTAAAAAACAAGAAAAACAATTAAAATAAGTATATCAAATCTGTGTCCATTCCATTCAGGCTAAGGATTATTTTCTTCAACGCATGTAATAAATTAAAGGAGTGCAGGAATTTAAAAATGACAAAAGATTAAAAACCTGCATTTCTATGATAGACTTTGAAGATCTACAACTAACAAACAAAAAGTAAAAAGTGGAACCATACTTTGCAAAAACACAGATTGAAAGAACTAGATTTCACAGCAAAAACACCCTATTAAAAGACATCAGTCTGTGTGATGGGAGCATCTTTTACACCAGGAGTGTGTGCAGAGTAAATGTGTGTACAATACAGAGTGAGTTTGTGCGCATCTGTATAACATACATATATGGACTTTGTTTCTGACACACACAATGCTGTATGAGAAAATACTTTTTCAGAAAAGTCTGCCCATTTTTAAAGTAAAAAGTTAAAAACATCTGAAATCTGCTTGGAGATTTTCAAAATAAGAGCTCTGGAAGAAGGTTCCCTCACAGTTTGCTCAGGTAGAACCACAGAGAACTCGCTCCGTCCTTAACATAAAGATCGTCTTCAAACAGAGACATGCACCCAGAAGTTATTATACAAGGAAAACAATTAGATTTAAAAACTGATGACTTCAGTCAGACTTTGTTCCATTTCAAATCCGCTAGAAAATAAGTGGATCGGGTCGTTCCAGTGGGCGAAAACACAGAACCACAAAAGAAATGATCACATTCTTATAATTTACAAAGGCATTTACAACAAGAACATAGATCACACACAACCTCACATATGGGCAAATAAATGTGATAGTACAGAGGAATGTTTCAGTCAAAAGAGACCGTCTTTTATCTTTACACTCAAGTGAGGAAGGTTGAGCTGCTCTCACTCAACAGTTTGCAGTCACAAAATTAGCTTGACTGAAAGTTTGGAGCAAATATTTCTTTCCTTCAAATGGATGGATGGAAGAAAGCTTAATCTTTTCTTTAGGAAATTATCCTGAGATTGTTTTTCTATGCTTAACCTATGAAACTTTCAGCTAACACAATAAAACATGTGGTTGCAACTTATTTGCATTTTTATGCCAGTTTTCAAAGTTCACTAAAGATGAAGTGAATTTTGCATTCTGAGAGATTCAATTGCAGGAAATCAGGATTTGTTTTAAGAGACTTCAAAGTTTTGAGCGAGAGCAGCAAAATATCTGAGTGTAAAAATAAGAATTTCTGCTCCTGAA